CGCGCCGGGCTTTGGTTTTCCTTTCGTGTTGTTCTAAATTAAATATTATACTTTGTTGTATATATTTTTTTTTTGTTAATATTCTTTCCTCGGAGTTCCTTTTGCCGCTTTACCTTACGTAATCTCTTAGTGGAGCACTGATTGCAAAACTTCCTTTCATGCGAACCGGTTTTTAAATTGTTTGTAATTCCGTTGATCTTCGGTTCAAATAAAGCAGCAGATTAGAAAATTATAACGTAATTTAATGAAATGAAAAATCTTTTTTTTTTGTAATTTTCAAACGTAAACACAATTATGTAAACAAGACGTGAATTAGTGAGCAGATTAGAATCGAAAATATTATATTATAAAGCTGCATCCTCACTGTGCGCAACATGTAACATAAATGACGTCAGGTGTACCAACTACAAAGCGCCAAATGACAGATCAGTTTCAGAGTCATAAGACTAACTACATCCAAAAATAATAATTTACGTTGCAACTACTGTAACATTTCTATTGTATCTCCATAGTAACCTTGAAAATGATGAATTCATTTTTTTTAACAACAACAAATATCCGGGTTGGCAGGCAAAATCACTTATTCAAATACGTTCGCTAATGATCTCATCTCCTAAACCACATCTTAAATTCACACTTTTGATCCATTGTTGAATAACTTGGATAATGTTAGAACTACTTATAATTTCAAAATAATCTTAGTTGAAGACACTTTAAAAAAACATGATTGGGTCCGTTGAACCCGAACGTTGTTAATCTCAGTCTTCAATCGAACAGCACCAATGGTTGGTGTGGTTACCTGCGTTTTAAAACAATAGTTCTCCGATTAACTGCAGATAGCATTATATACATCACAATGCGAAAACCAACAATGAGTAATCTGTAAGTGGCCGTAAGGGCCTTTCCCAGACCTTCTCCAATAACACTTATGAAATAACTTTACACACAATACTCTCGTGACCTTCTACACTACACTGGACCGTTAACTCAAAGATTGAAAAAGCTCTTTCTTACATCTATTGAACTTATATAAGAAAACTTCTTACTTGCCACTTTCAAATAAACGGTAGTATTGATTAGAAAGAAGAGAATGTTTCTTAAAGAAAATGTTGATTATTTCAATATATAAAACATTGATATGTTTATATACGTAATATTCCATAGTTTCAAAACCCCTGATATAAATTTGAATATAAATATTTACACATAACATATAAAATATAATTTTATTGGATTTTCGTAACAACATTGCATATAATATTAATAATAATATTGAAATTGAAAACTATTATTTAAATTTATGAATCATTACTAAAAACAAACATTGAGAATGTAATATTTCCATATATATATAATTTTATTAGTTTGTTTCAATTATTTTATAAATTTCAGTTATTTGTAATGGTTTATATTTAGAATTAAATTGTTGTTGCAAAACAGGAATGTAATAATATTCGAAATTGTAAATGTTTACATACCTTGAAATTGAAGAATGCAGCAGATAAATCCAAAAAAAAAATATCGATAAAATAGAATAAGCGAAAATTAAAAAAAAAAAGAAACAAAATCCAGAGACGTACAAATAAAAATGTAAATAGTTCAGGAAGACGACGAAAACAAAACGATCAAAGAAGAACTGGTATAAAAGTTAATCACTGAAACTCGTGGATCAGGTAAATGTAAACACTGTTCTTCAGGTTGGGGTTGAAGTGTAGTTGTGTATGATGCAGAGGAGGCAGCACGAATTTTGGTATCCGGACGGGGGGGCGAACGGCGCGTCGTCGGCCGCGTTTGTTCTGGCGCAAAATTCGACGGCAACAATATTATATATCAGGCGACGCGTCGATAATAATAAACAGTGCACACATGCGTCGCGACGCCTGCCTAGGTGGTTCGCGAGCGTCGTCGTCTATGCGTCGGAGCGTCCTGCGACAAACTAAACGAGGGAAGAAGGAACGTAGTCTGGCTGGCTGGCTGACGACTCTCACCGCCGCTCGCTCTCGGTCCTCGATCCTCGAGCCGTTCTCGCGCGCCGTCCTCATCCTCCTCAGTTGTTCCACGATCGAATTCTACCCACACTCTCGCGCATTTTGCTTCACGCAAGACGCAACCTATGCATGCATGTTCATCGACATGCCAAAAATTCCTAAACACAGAAATGCACACACACACACTCGTAGAGGACCTCAAAAAAAAAAGAAAGCAGAATGAAAACATTGGATGCAGACTTTTATGCAGTCGCGTGTGAAATTGCATCAAATTTAAGGAAATTACACGAATCGCTTCATATTCGGTATATGTTATCAGATTGTCTACCAAAGACCATCAGAATTTATTCTTGCCTCAATACCAAACACCTATTTAGAACAACAACAATTTGCAAACACTATCCTTATTTTAGTGTATATTCAATTTATATAGTATGCGTAGTGTAGACATATCCACAGTAGATCAATACAAGCTACAGTTAACACTAGAAATCATAAATTATTCATTATTCATTAAATAATTTATCACTAAAAGTAAATACCTTATTCATCCAATAAATTGTAATAATTTGGTAGACAAGGTGTGAATTGATCAACTTAAACCTAAGTAAGGTATAAGGAAACACAAAATATTTATATAACAGACAGTTCATCAAGTGTATGTTTCTTCTATGAGTCTAAATTATATTGATTCTACTAGAAGTATTATGGTATATTAAGTGCTTGTTAATTATATCTTAAGTTTCAACCAAAATCCAAACTTTATATGTAAATTGACCAACTTAATTGACAAGTACGTTGTTTCATCACTATTTAGAAAGATTTATTATCACTAAAATCTTGCATTTAACATAAATAAAAGCTTATAAAACGAATTATGTACTAAATTTCGAAGATAACAAGGGGGTGTAACTCAGTGGTAGAGTGTCTGCTTCGCATGCTGAAAGTCCTGGGTTCAAATCCCAGCTCCTCCAACCACTCTTTTGCTAACATGCAGAATTATTTAGTTCAACAATTATTATAACTACAAACACACAAAAATTATGTTATAAAAACCCAATCCAATAATTAACTACTTTTAATTTCATTCTAAAAAACCAATAAACTATTCTGACAAATATTGTTTGTAAAAAGTATGATAATAATAAAATATCTTAATGATTCTTTCTCAATTCTTTATTCATATTTTTATGAATTCAAAATACAATTTATTTAAATAGAAATGAAAGTTATATTGTCAAAACTGTAAATTATGCGTATAATTATTAAAAATGATGTATGATTCAATGCTCATCAAGGCGCCAGACGTTCAAGTAATTACAATTTGAATTAATGTTTCACCAGATTCTGAGTATCATTATTCATTACCGCAATAGTAAGAACACAACAGACAATGTTTTGTAGAATTAAATTCAAAAAAGAAATTAATCTATATAATTTATTTATTTTCTTCATGACGTTTTTCTTAAGAATTATTAATGAACAAAGTATATAAAAAAAAGCGTTATTATCCAAGTTGAAAGTAAAAAAATTGTTGGTGATAATGTTTATTGAAACAGTTATAAAATTACATGAAATTTGCTAAACAAGTGTAAATAATTTGCACAGATTATGTATGTTGTATATTGTATAAAAGTTTCTCCTCCTTACAATTTGGGTCATGGGTATCACAATCTATAGAAGTTGTATACACGTTTACAATTTTTCAGGTAAAAAAAAGATAAAATTTCACGCTTTGTTGTACTTCCATTTCGATTCCCACAAGTCCAGGGTTTATCGTCAAACTCACACAGTTGTTACCCTCACTTCGCACAGCATAAAACGATAACAAACATTTGTTTCTGTATTTCAAAACATAAATATCCAAAACTTTTTTATTATCATATTTATTACAGATTTAATTATAAATATGTGTGTGGAATTTGTTCACACAATTATATTTACGTTAATTAAATTATGTTTTATTTAGTGTAAATAATAAATCTTCAATAAAGTAACTGGATATAGAAAACAATATGCTTAATCGGTTTTATATAAAGTGCAAACGCATACAAAATAGAAATGTAATGAGCTGACGTTATTATAGAAGTTCCGACAGCAAAATTATAAATGGAGAGTAAAAAAAAGTGCACGTGGAAAACAATGGTGAAGGAACGAAATAAAGCGGCGTTTCAAGTATTTGATGATGTGTTGAACAATGCGGCTTAGCTATTTCCAAGCAGGAAGTTGCCTCTATTGAGATGCGGCTGGTCCGAAAGGCGTTCGTTTTATGATGAAAATGCAGTACACTTCCTTCTTACGTTTCTCGCTTAAGGTTTTCGAACATATTTTTTATTTCATCTTTCCAATATATTAATTGAATTTATTTGTCTTTTATCATCTTGTATTCTTAACAATTATTACCTGAAAGGTATAATCATTAATTTCTCATTTATTCATTAAAGACATAAGTATTATTTAGTTCCAATTTGTTAGAGAGTAAAGACGGCGAGTGTATTAATAGAATGTCCTTAGTATTAAGGTGGTAAAGGATCAATTATAACGGATTATGTATGTTACTCTTAGTGAACTTTTCATTAAAATTCTCATATAAACAATTAGAAAATGATATGTTTTTGTAAAGAACGTAGTAGGAATTTTCCACGTGGGCGAGCATTGTTTTGTAGGCGTTTGCATTATTTTGCGTGTTAAAGTGTGAGGCAAATTGTAGCAGTATCGTGTGACTGTGTTCTGTTCACGCGGATACATATATAAAATAGATGTCTGTCTTCGGGGAGCAACCGGAATTTACGTCTGTACCGAGAAATGGCTCTGAACGTGAATAGATTTCTCTAGAGTTAGATCCAAGAACATTTTGTTCAGCTCATGGGATTCGCGGTGGAAACTTGAGAACGCGAATCCATTGATTATATATTCTCATGCCCGACGTCAATATAAAATAACACTACTTTATATAATGCAATGAACTTATTGTTATATTTAATGTAATATATTTAAAAAAACTAAATAATAGGCAACCCATTTTACACAATATGTAATCTCTTAATTTTATTGTTACTGTAATATGCAGTATTATAAGTATGTAGCATATATTTACATATGTTAAGTATTAAATATGCTGCGCATGTTAATCCTCGCGAGATGGTGTTGATTCAACTTCTGTTCATCCTGTTGCCCCAACCTCTTCTGTGTTCATCTTTAAACTCATCCTTAGCTCTCATCCTAGCAATATTCTCCGGATCGTCCGCCTCTTCCAACTGCTCCTTTTCCATGGCCTCTCTTTCATCAGCATTTAAATCGATACCAGCCAATGCGGCTTCCTGCATCGACATAGGCCCCTGTTTAGGTTTAGTTGGATTCGGGAAAACACCATCAGCTATGCGTTGATCGTAGAACTCCTGGACAGTAAATGAGGGCAATGATGGATAACCAGCGCCAAACACTGCTTTCTGCATTTCATCTTTCGTTATGATTATTGGTCTCAGAGGCTTCACTGGTATCTTTGGTTTTGGCTTCTCGTTTCCCATCTTCTCCATATGCTCCAAAATAGGTTTTTCCATATCTATGCAATTCAGTTCATCAATTGCCTCATAGATATACAACTTAATCATTGTCAAGAAGTAGTTTCTTTTGATCTCATCATCTACACTTTCATTGTTCATATTCTTTTTCAAATCTTCCAAGTTCTCCTTCAGCACTTTCTGCTCTTTGAATCTCTGAATTTTCGTGGATCTTGTGTTCACTGAATGTGCAATGTCCTGAAACTCACTACGATTTGCTTGCAGATCTTGACATTCCTCTTTAAATTTATAATTACTTAACCCATAGTTATTACATCGACTTAAGAAATCTTTGAAATACACTTCTGCTGTGTTGATTATATCTTTTCTGTCACCCGAAGTTAATTTCAATGACAAAGTTCCCAATAGGGCAGGCAGAAGAAAATACTGAATGTGTTCAGTTGGCACCTCATCGATTCTCTCATTGCTACTGAAAATACTAGCCATCGAGACTAACCTTGTCGAGTCCTCTAATATGTGCATGGCTTTTTTAATGTTGATCTGCAATTCGAATTGATATTAATTACCTTTCATTCAAATTTTTAATTGATTACACTCACTTGAACATTTGGGCTGTTCGTTGGCTCGTCAATCTTTCCCAAATTGTTGAAGAGATCTAAGCCCTCTTGGAATAATGCTGACAGGGATTTATTTTTATCTTCACTGCTGGCCATCTTCACTGTTAATTTGATATTGTACGAATCAAAACAAACTGACACATTCCTACAAATACTGACATTACCTGATATTGTGCACAAGTGAATCACTTGTACCAACTTCCTTAGAAATATCAGAGACTTGTGTACATTTAGTTGCCTGTATTAACAAACACATTTTATTCAAAAATTCTTCAGATAAAAATTAATTTATATTGAATAATTTTATTACTGCAAATCATTTAAAAACGTTCTATTTCTTATTTAATTCTCATAGATGCAAGCAAATCTTTAAGGCTGATTGAAATATGTTAAAGCAAACAAAAAAGTATTAATTAAATTTGTAAACCATTTAATAAAAGTAAATTAAAGAAAGGTCTGATTTATAATAAACATCGATTCGTGTATTCTACACATCAATAAATAACTTTTATACATTAGATTGTCAAAAACATAATTTGAAGACGAATTTGCAAATATCATTGTAAATTATAACACAGATAATAATAATAACTACACCAAAAACTGAATACGAAATAAATGTAAACTCATTTCTCACTATTCGTTTCATCTTCATTCTCATCGTGTTTGTAACCCATAGATTCCATTTCTTGGATAATCTTATCAGTTCTAAAAAAATAATTCATCCAGTCTTTGTGATTGTAATCGGGATGAACTCCACCGTATCGTTCCGGTAAATGTTTAGGATCTATGTGCTGATGTAAAGATTCCCAATCATCGCCGTGGAAGAACAACCGCTTCCTCATTCTCTCGTCCAAGAATGGTCGGAAAACGTTGAACACCATATCAAATACCCACGATTGATTGACTATGTGAATGGCTTCGATTTTCATTGGGAAACTGGTCTAAAACAAGAAATAATAACTGTAGTGTATGGAACTTTCTTGCGGCATGATTTAATATTACTGATATGTAGGCTATTTTATTTTTTTTGCATCTGTATAAGTGTACAAATAGAAAGTAACTTACGACCATAATTTGCACTATTTTAGAAGCGACGCTGGGCGTTAAGTGCCAAGACTTCTGCAGAGATAAACCTTCTAAATCGAACATGCAGACGCCGCCTAAGATCTGCGCTCGCTGCTCTAGAATCGCCAACTCCAAGATGACCAACGTAGCTTGAAACAGTTCGGTGATGGTGAACTTTTTCGGATCCCATATCCCTATAAGATGTACGTCTAATTTCACTTGATTCACTTACAACAACAAAGCAATATGTAATGAAATACCTATCCGGTATAATAAAATGCGTCTTCCGTTCTGCTCTCTGTACGGTGGTACGGTGATTATATCGTCGTCGCCTATTCTCTGCAAGTGCTTGAGGTTCACATCCTCGACGAATTCCGGGTTGTTCTCTTTGAAGTTGTAATAGTTCACCAGCTATAGGGAAGAGAATAAACGGGTTTATGGAGAAAGTACGGCTATATCAGTTTGTTGTACGAAAATCTAATAACTTACCAGTCTGTGAGAGCGTTCGAGTTGGAAATAGCGAGCCCGCAAGAAACGAAGCAAAAATGCATCGTCCGTCCGATGCGGCACACATTCACCACGATCTAAAAAAAAACATATCTACTTATACAAACCGCTTTCTTCATCAAATTCATCAAATGATGTCTTAATAGAAAATTAAGTAAAGTATTAATTGAAAATTAATATAAGGAAATGAGTAATTCTATATGTTTTGCTTAGTGACCTAAATATGACAGTGGAATTATTCTATAATAATAATTAGTATAAATATTCTTCTTCGAATTAATTAATGTTTAACGTTGTAGAAATCGCGTGTGATTCAATTAGAAAGGCGGAAGTGCATAGGGGGTACATGGACCAACAATAACTCTGTTACGTGAGATGCATTTAATAGTCAACACCAAGAATAAATAAACGTTAGATAACTTACTGTAAATCATGTTTCGGAAATCGTCGAGCACTTTCAGACGGGTATCAGGATCTTCGTTCAAATGTTTCTTGGCCCACGCGACTAACTCCTGCGGTGGATCCTCCAAGTCCAGCTCGGACAGCACGTCCGTATCTTGCGGCATTTCCGGTTCTTCTGCAAACCGCATTCGAAAATGAGTCTTAACGATTACAACATTATCGTACATTATTTATAATAACATTATCATATATTATTTATAATAACATTATACATTATGTACGATGCGAAACACGCAATTTGAGTTGTAATAGCTTCGTACGTTTGCCCTATTTACAAACATTTTCAATTTAATAGCACAGCTAGATCATCTTGAAACCACACACCGCGACGAACGGAATTAATGTTACTAGGACTGCTTAAGTATTTACCGGATTCTATTAGAAAATCGCATACGCAAGAGATATTTTCTCCAGTTTACATGAAACGGAAGAAACAAATTCACATTTGGAACACTTACATTAATTATAGTATAATTATTGCTCTAAATATTTATTATAAAATTCCGAATTTTTAAATCCAGATTTTATATATTTCTATTATTTAAGCAATTGCGAACATAAATCTATAATAATTAATGCAATTTATATAAAAAAAAAGAAATAGTTATTTGTCGCGAAACAGATTTGAAGGCTTTTTCTTCTATCGAAACAACATTGGTTAACATGCGACTTTGTTTTTCCATGCCATTTGTAAGCAATCGTTTTGCAATGTTAAATAAATAGTGTAGGTCTTAAAACGTTGAAATGTTGTGCGTACGAGTATGCTTAAATAATCACGTAGTATTGTGCAACTGGTATTTATCAGGGTTACTGCAGGTCAACCACAATTCACTTGTAATTTATTGATTTATGAAAATAACAATTTTTAATTACAACTAATATTTTTCTTCATACTTTCAAAATAATGTATACATAAATACATTCCCAAACAATATTGTTTATAACACGTTTGAAAAAGAAAATAAGCTGTAAGGTAATAAACAGTTTAAGTGCATTTTGTGTCCAATGTTTATTTAGTTATTTGAAATGTTCAATAAAAAATATATTTAAACCTGTTTTTAAATTGCATCGTTTGAAAATAACACAAATTCCCTGAGTAAAGAAGAAATTGAATCTGTGGGTAAACCTTCTGCTTTAAAAATATGCCACAATTTGCGAAAGTTATAGCTGATAGATTCATTTGCAGATGTAGATGAATTGCTAGTTGACAATCCTCGTGAGGATGATGAAATTATAAAGGTTGTCTGTGTCTCCTTCTGATCTTCTAGAAGAAAAATCTTAGTGATGATGATAAAAAGACTGTTTACTGCAATAGCCAAAATTTTGAACGTGAATTGACATCATACATGAACTATTACCAATCTTGTATTAATTAAACATTTTTTCTTCATGTTTCTATAATTATTCTTCATTAATAAATGTAAGATTTAAAAGCAGGTTTCAGTTTATATCAATTCTCTTTATTCACTTCAAAATTGTAATATTTTCTATATACTTTTATATTTCATAAATGTTATATTTAATTGTTCAACATTTAATATTCAATTTTCAAGGGTTTATGCACATAAATATTAGAATTATATTAGTTTCAAAAGTGTTAAATGAAAAACCAAGTAATTGCATTGTGTTCTTTGACCGTGTAATTTCAAAGTCACGTAATAAACGTGCAAAAATATTGAATGTAATTTTAGATATTTTCTCTTGTGCAAAGCAAAAAAAATAATCAGTATTACAACAAAATATCATGCTCGACTTAAGTTATGCAAAAAATAACGTTTGCAATTTATAGAAAATCATTGCAATTACTGCAATTATAAAATTCTCGTTTCAAAATTTTCAGCTTGAGATTTGATAATAAATTGAATTAATTAGTAAATATGTAAATATGCATCAATTACTGTAATGAATTAAGATAAATACTCTTCAAATTAAGATAAATACATAATATTGATTATATAATTGAATCAAAGGGCAAACGGCTGCTGACCTCAATTTCATATGCGATTATGTAAACTTGAAAGGAAACTTTTATTTCATCTTTTGAACTTTTCAAAGAGTGCTTTGCCTTGAAAACGATTGAATTCGTATCAATTTTACGATGTAAATCAGACCTGTTTTCATAATTGCCGCTCTGAAAAACTTATTGCAAACGTATTGCAAATCATGCGATTTAATGCAAAAGTTTTTTTTTTGTTGCAACCCAGAAACATAGTTTCATGGGAATTGCTAAATCACCGCTCCTTTTTTTCTTCTCCCAAGCGTGACACAATTAAGATAACTTTCAGTTTTGGGGAAATCAAAATAAAGGATTTTTTAGAGCCGTTGCAAATCGAATAATTGTATAATAGAAACTTACGTAGCGATTGGTTTTACGATTTAACTTGTCCAACGGTCCCTTGCTAGACTAAGCAGTCCACGGATCGCGAATACAGGCACAAAGACCGGAACGCACTCCTGCTCACCGGTTAATTAAACAAACTCGAATGGAGAGAAAAAAAAACAACAACAACAACGTATAAAACAATATAAACAAGTCCTTCAAGGTTGTCACGTAAAATGGGCTCTGTCGCATATATGTATGTAACGTGAGCAACTTTATTTCTGACTGCACTTCGTGTGTGCGAAAAGGAAAGTGCGATTTTTCCACCCGCTTCCCAGCACGAGAGCGAAACATACACACACACACACACAGCCTCCTCACCAGCAACCACCAGCAGCAACAAACAATTGAAAGTGCACAGTCAATCGTGGGACACATTTTATATATAATTGTTTTTTTTTTTCTTCCTCTCCGGCCAACGTCTTCTTACCAATTGTATTTGCAAATTTTCAACATCGACATGATGTAATGCTAATAGTTACGGAAACAAATACTAAGCGATGTCCGTATCATGAGACTAATGAAACTGCATTTTGCAATACCCCATACTTCTTTTGTTTCGTACAGCATCAACAGATTATACACCTGACCGACAAACCGATAATATTTAAAATGTGTAATTATACTTGATTTATTCACAAATATGTTTTTTCGATTTTTCATACAAAATACACATACAAAGCGCGGATCTATTGGTCCACAGTTTTTAGAAAAACAGATGGTTTTAATAATACACCACAAGGAACAATACAAACATTTTTTTATTTCTTCTGAAACTTTAGAAAACAAATTCGTTCGTGGTTCCACCTACGAACCATTGAGCTTTAAAGTGTTGTTTTTCAATTTTTGCTTAATTTTTTACCTTTGCAATTGCAAGAAATACCAACTTAAGTTATTTATTTTATTATTAAAGAACTAAAGTTGATTTTTATAGTTACATATAGTTTGTCCAAAATATACTAATTATCTCGTATAGCAGAGGTTTCCAAACTGGGAGGCGCGAAAGAATTACTTGAAACAAAATTTTAAAAAATAATATTGGAATTTACACTTTTATATTTAATAATCAATTTTTTTTATTTAACAATAGATTTGATTTACAAAAAAAAACCTTCTAAAGACTTTTCAATAAATTTTAATAAAAACGCACAATTTGTTCGTATTTCAACGTTTGTATTTTCGTCTAATTTAAATTACTTTCTTATCTATTATGCAGGTGTGCAAAACCAACACGTTTGAGATTCGCAGGTGCAGATGATTCATCGCTGCATAGATGTTTCGTGTTTGAAATCGCAGGTGCGGCTGATTCATTGTGTCGTCATAGATCGGGCGTTTTCGCCTAATTTTTATTGCTTTATCAATTATGCAGGTGCGAAAAACGCATTAATTTCTATTGGCAATATAAAAATTTGCTTAACGTTTTGGAACCGCTGATTCATCCTAACATAGGCAATGCGCAATTTCGTATCCCAATTTTTATTAATGAAAAGTAAATACATAAATGTATCTTTCATTTTCATATGAATTATAATTTATATAATATTAAATCGAATAGAAAAAATGTAAAAATTATATATAAATGAGAAAATCTAATCAAAATATTATTAAATTATAGTTATTTAAATATCTTTGTGTCTTGA